TTGGGGCAGTGTTATCAAAGCAGAACCATTGCCGAATTTAATAAATTTCATGTCGCAGCGCGTAAACGATTTTTAGAAAGCGAAGAAGACTCTGCATGATATTATCATAAAACATATTTTCTGAATTTTTTAGTCCTTAAAATAATATCTTCTTAATTTACTACAACTAAAGTTATGTAAATATTAATAATTTTCCTTTAAAACTAACCAAAATATAACAAACAAGAAAATGCATGTTTTTTTTAATTGGCTAGATTTCAATGTCCACAACTGTATATTGAAAATACAAACGTCATTTGACTCATGATAAAAATATAGCAAGGTAGAACCCAAGGCGAATTAATATAAGGTGATAGCAGGAGTACAAAAACAAAAAATTACATGTATTTTGTTTTTGCTTTGGCGGCATAAACTGTCAAAATCTGTAAGAGTATGTGTAGAAATTCAAACAAAATTTTTCAATTTGATATCGGAAGCCGTGCGGCGAAACACTTACACAAAATCAGCTGAGCTAGTAACACCACCTTATATAAATTCGCCTTGGTAGAACCGTTCTCTCAATTCGTCGGCCATGATTTTTTTTTGAAGTTTGCCAACATTTTAAAATCATATAAAAGTGAAAATAAAAAAATGAAATTGTTTCAATGTGTGTGTGAGTTTGTGAGTAAATTTAAAAATTAAATTGTTTGGAAACGTCAAGAATTTGAAAACTGACTCTCAGCGGTTCTACCTTATTATATTTTTATCATGATTTGACTTATGGCATGTGAATTTGTGGTTGCCACACCCAAAAAATTGTATTTAGTGATCAATATTATTGAAGATTTAAGGAAGATTTAACTTAAATCTACTGCCTTTTGAGATTTAATTTTATATGGTAAATCCCAAAATATTTAACGTTAAATCTCGGCAGAGGGCTAAATCTTCATTAAATCTCACAATGGAGACATAGTATTAGGGGCCCTATAACAGCAGCGTGTGCAAATAAATTCCGGATTTTATTTTCCTTATAAGAGTTACCAAATCAAACTTATAAATATCTACACATACAATATTAAAACTTTAAATATCAAGAAAAAATGATTTGCCTTTAAAATAGTAATATTATTCATAGTTTTTAAAAATTCATTTCTGGCAGCCAAAATATCAAAATGGGGCATTTGTGAACAAAAAAGTATCAAAGTATCAAATATATTTAGAAAAAAAATTATCAAAACAGGCAACGCTGGTTGCAATAGCGACGCAATTTAAAATTCAAAGGATAAAATCCTTTACTACTGTTAAGTGCAGTAACAGTTTTAATATTTTGAATTTTGAATTGTATCGTTGTTGTAAATCATGATTTTGCACATTCGCAGTTTGTTTCCTGAGGCGACGATTTGTACATTTTAACAGACACAGAGTGGTGTTGTTTGGAAATTTTTTATTGAGCTGAACTCGTTCTGGATAAAAATCTAGACTACTCTGTAATTGCCAAAATGTACAAATCTGTTCAAAAGTACAAATCGTGTGATCTCTGCTTAACTTGAGTAATGTCAAAGCCGCCACGACGGCGCTATATTGTATTCTATCATTCATGGCAATTGCAGATCTCCTAATAATAAAGCGCAACATGTTTGTTTTTGTGTGTGTGCCAGGGAGGAAAACTCGTGGGGAATGGATGGTTGTTTGTGGGGAATTTCAGTTTACGTGGGGAATTGGGCGATGAACTGTGTTTTGTGAAGAATTAGGTGTTAATAATTTTTTTCTTTTTGCATCACTAATTTCATAATGAGTTAAAAAAGTTTCATAAGAAATGTAACTGCAACTAAAAGTACTGATTATGTAACACTGAGTTATTAAATATTTAAGTCAGCAACGAAGAGGAACAATGGCAGCACTATTTACAAATTGTCATTTGACATTTCCATTTTTGCTGTTTTATTGAATTTTTTTATAATATTACACAAAATTTGTAACTTGGATTTATACGGTTTTTGTTAGAGAATGAACTATATTTTTATAAAAGCTAACTCAGATTAAATATAAAATAATACTACTGTGACAACTTGTCAAAATTAGGTGCGACTAAAATTTTTTCGACCACTGTATGTAAATATATAAATATTGTATATATATTTTTTATTATTTATTTGTTAAAAAACTTTATAATAGTGTGTTTTGATTTATAAATATATATGTAGATGAATTACATTTAAAATAAAATACAAAACACAGAAAGACCAGCAATATATCAAAATACCAAATCAATTCGGTTGGCGATACAAGCGTTCCTCAGGCTGAAAAGTATAGAAATACTAGTCATGGTGGATTACACTGTATGACGATGGGTACTATGGTGACACTCAGATGGCGTCGTGTTCAATTCAGTACACTGCGCTATTGCGCTGAGTTAGTGCGCTGAAACCACAGGCGGCGCCGGCGTTTTTGAGCTAGCGCTAAAAAAAATGCGCATTACCCATGGCTAGGGAATTCTCAAAAATGAGTTGGCTACCCTGGTGTGTGCGTATGATTCGCTGCCACAAAATGCTCGGTATTGTATTTTCTGCTAGCGTCGCAACAGAATGTTTGAAATGAACGTTGCAATGTAAAAAAAGGAAACTTTAAAAGGTGAATAAATGAACATATTTGTGCTCATATGTAGGTATTTTATTATGCATATACATATGTATATTATGTATGTATTTTTAAAGGCATACTTTTTGAAAAATTGCGATCTAATAATGTATGTTAACTAGGGCATTCAATCCCGAAGCATTTTAACAATCCCGGGATATCGGGAGGCGACAACCTTTAATCCCGGGATCCTGGGATTTTTCGGGATTTATAGGAAGAACAATAAAAAGGAATACAAATTGGTTAAACGAATTATTTTATATCATAAAACAACAATTTCCGTATAAAAATAAAGCATAAAGATAGATTATTTACATTTCGCAAATGTATTTACACATATTGAATCACATGTTATTTCATATTTCTTATAAATACTCTTATTCAACAAAGCATAAAACAAATTGCATATAAAATAATACTTCATCAAAGAATAAAATTTACAGATGGTGTCGTTTACATAAATTGGTGGCTAGGGCTGGAAATATTAGAGCTATTTTAATTCTTAAAGCCCTGTATCCAGCTCTCAAGAAAACCGTCAAGAAAAAATTGCCATTATTTCGCGTGTGTGTCCAAGAAATTTTGACATTTTTGATACCTCACAGCCTGTTGCCTCACTCTTTCCTCAAGAAATAATGGAACGGGCATATATTTCTGTTGCAAACCTGGGTTGCCTTGTGCTCTTTTTTCACAAAAAACTTTAGAAAACCGTAGTAGAAAGCGTAGGAAATTTCTTAAGAACTGCGTACTGCCTTAAGGAAATTTGACTCAAGAAAATTTCTTAGCCATTTCTTGTACGTCATTTTATAAGGAGTTTTTGCTTTTCTTGAGAGCTGCATACAGGCCTTTAGATGGTACTTCAGAAAAATTAAAGCATCTAGTGTATTGTCAGCGAGACTAGATCGTATTTTGTTGCAAGAGTAACCAGCTGAGGAAAAACATCTTTCTGACTCTACACTGGTTGGCGAAATAGTTAGTAAAAAAACGTATACCATTTGCGAACCCCCGTGCATAAATAAGTCGATTTCTCCCAAGGCACATAAATACAGGTAGAAGCCAAAATGACGTTGCTCTCATGAGAACCAAACCTTTAAACTTCAACTTGATTTTATTTTATTTCCTATATTTCGTTACGCTTTGAATGTCATATCGTTGTTTTTTTTTTGAATGTTCGTTAATAACAAATTTTAATTTGCATTTGAATTTTTGTAGTGTTGTGCGGTTTATACTTAGTGTATGTGTTAAAAATGCAACACCTGAAGCGTTGTGTTTTATGTGGTGTTAAATATAAGGCAGATACCACTAATTTTTTAACGTGCCTCAATGTCCTTCGCGTAAGGAACGTTGCGAAAGCAGCTGTGGGCAGAGCTGCAGTGAAATGCCTTGCTGTGCGTTAAACATTTTAAAGAAGTAGATTCCACAAATACACCGGGAGGTACAGGAAAGGCACGTTTGAAGCCAAGTGCTGTTCCTATGACCCTTATGCCGAAAAGTCCCTCCAACAACACTGCAACTCATAAAACAAAAACAGAAAACAACATACACGTTTTTTCAAATTTTAACTAAAGAAAATAAATAAATAAGAATAAACTTCAAATATACTTAAAAACGTCAACCAGTGAAATGTATTTTTTTTATTTTTCCTTACACACGCTCATTTTTATTTTTACTCTCCCGAAAACTTTGACTTTTGTAGGTTTGATGTCAATTTGGCTTCTACCTGTTTTTATTGTACCATGGATTTCTCCAGTAAGGATGTTGTTGGGGACACCAAGAGAAAATCAAAAACACGTTTTCCTTCTGTGTAATGCAAACAGTTTAATAGCTTCAATGCGAATGAATAAATAATATGTATAACGAACGTTATAAAGCTTAAAGTTAAATAGATAATGTTATACATTGGCGTTGCCATATTTTAACACTCCTCCTCAACGCTAATGTATTGCTTAAAATTTTTATTTTATTTTTGTCATTCTAAACCTAAACTTTTAGTAAACTTCATGTGTTTGTTCTTGCATAAGTTCTTTGTTAAGACATCAGCAACCATTTCACTAGTTGGGGTATATTTAACATTAATTTCATTATTTTTTATTACATCTCTAATGAAGTGGTGCTTTATGTCTATGTGCTTACTTCTGCCGTGAAACATAGGGTTTTTAGATAAATTTTGCGCACTCAAGTTATCCCCGTATATAGTTGTCGGCGAATGTTGTTCACAACCAATCTCCTTTAATAGATTTCGTAGGAACAACGCTTCCTTTACTCCATCTGCGAGTACAACATATTCGGCCTCAGTGCTACTTAGTGCCACCGTTTGTTGTTTTTTCGACTGCCAAGCGAATGCACTGCCGCCGAGAAAGAACGCATATCCAGAAAATGATTTTCGGTCAATCAAATCGTTGGCCCCAGTCTGCATCGGCGAACCCTTCAACTGATTTTCCAAATGCGCTATAATATAGGCGTAGATCTTTAGTAGCCGCTAAATACCTCAAAATGTGTTTTATTCCGGCTTCATGTTCAATGTGTGGGTCCGAATTGCGTTGAGTTAATTTGCATACTGAATGCATTATATCCGGACGTGTGCATACAGCCAAATACATTAATTCCCCAATCATGGATTGATACTCTACCGCATCGACTCGTTTACATGTACTGCTTTTGCATCCTACAGTAAAGCCTGCATCCAAAGGCGTTGCCGCTGGTCTACACTGTTGCATTCCCCGCCGTTCCAACATATCTTTTATCCATCACGCTCAACTTTTATACCCAGAAAATAGCGTAGGTCACCTTTGTCAACACACTCAAAGCTATTTGAGATTTGTTCTTTTACATTATTTAAATCTGCTATAGTTTTGCAAGCAATGATGAGGTCATCAACATACACAGCGATGAGCGAAATATTACCCTTTATATTCTTCTTATACAGACAAGGTTCGTTAATGCAGGATTCATAACCAATGGATTTAAGCACACTATCTAATTTTGCGTTCCATTCGCGACCAGACTGATTTAATCCGTAAATCGCCTTTTTCAAGCGTAATACGCCATCAGGGTTGTGTTCGTCAATAAAACCGTCCGGTTGCCGCATATATACTACATCGTTACATCGCTGTTTAAATAAGCCGTACACGCATCCATTTGGTGCACAAAAAGTTTCCACTCGACTGCTAAAGCTAGAACCATACGAATAGTTGAGTAGCGAACTACAGGCGAATACGTCTCTTTGTAATTTACGCCCAACTGTTGATTGCAACCTTTTGCGACCAATCTGCGTTTAAATCTTTCTACAGTCCCATCATCGTTACGTTTTACGCTGAAAACCCACCTACAGCCAATCGCTCGTTGCCCTTTTGGCAAACTCTCAAGACTCAACGTTTCAGTTTTTATCAACGACGCGTATTCTTTGTTCATGGCATTAGTCCACTCCTTAGCGTACCTACTTTGCAATGCTTCAGTAACTGTCTGCGGAATTTCAATACTGCTCGAGTCTTTCATTACGTTCAAGATATTTCGCATTTTCTTTGGTCTTCCTGGCCTTCCAATCCGCACGTACTTCGGTCTACCACTACCAAACCGCACGTCTTGCTCCTCCTATAACGAAGCTTCGCCATCAATATTCTCTACTTCATTTTCATCGTATTCTAAATCATCGTCTTCGCGACCACGCTTTTTCATTGGTTTATCAAGCATAAGAGATTCTGGTGTAATTTCGATTGAATCCGTCGTAGAACTCTCTTCGACAGTTAACAACTCAACAAACAGCACATCACGAGCCTCAATAATTCGCCTACCCTGTGAGTCGTAAAGTCGATACGCTTTAGATGTGAGTGAGTATCCAACCATCTTGTATTCTTTCCCTTTCGCTTTTAATTTGTTACTCTGTGTCTTGTTTAAGCAAATCGCTGTCGACCCGAATACCCTTAAATGGTGAATCGACGGCTTACGACCATTCCACGCTTCATACGGTGTGACTCTATCTAATGCCTTCGTCGGCGATCGGTTTCGTATATACACTGCTGTAGCTGCTGCTTCTGCCCATAGCATTTCGGAAACACTCGCATATGTCATCATAGTTCTGGCCATTTCTACAATCGTTCTATTCATCCTCTCCGCTACCCCATTCTGCTGTGGGGAGTACGGAAGCGTGAGCTGTCTCTTTATACCAAAATGCTTGAAAAGCTCATCGAACTTCTTATTGACGAACTCAAGTCCGTTATCGCTTCTCACTACTTTTATTTTTCTGTCTGTTTGTCGCTCAACCAAATTCTTAAATATTATAACTTATCGAAAACCTCATCTTTACTTTTAATGAAATAAATAAATGTCCTGCGAGATTTGTCGTCTATAAAGGTATTAAAGTACCTAGCACCACCTAATGACACAGTTCGCAACGGACCACAAACGTCCGTGTGAATCACTTCAAGCAAATCTTTAGCGCGCTCAGTAGCCTTCTGTGGGAAAGACTTGATATGTATTTTGCATTTCATGCATGTTGTACATGAGATAGGTTTCGTAAACTTAATATTTTCAAGACCACGAACCATTTTCTTTGATGCAAGTTCCTGTAAACTTCCATAGTTTAAATGCCCGTATCTGGCATGCCATTTTCCGCATTCATTGCTATACATGTTAAAGCATTTATTTATCTCATTATTTTTAATAAATAATCCACCACTTGCTCTAGCTTTTAAAATTACTTCTCCGTTTTCTTCATATACAACAGCCATCGATGGCGAAAACTTCACACAAAAACCTTTTTCTACAGCCTTGCTTACCGATATGAAGTTTCCACCCATTTCAGGTACACACAAAACATCTTTTAATGATATGTCACCTTCATTTGCCCTTAATTCCACATCACCTCTTCCTTCTGCATACATGTAGTTACCTCCAGCAAGTGTCTTTTCGCTCCTCAAATGTTGTGAACATATCACGATCACAGCACATATGCACTGTAGCTCCGCTGTCTAAACACCACGAGGAAGAGTTGAAAAATGACGTATTTGTTGCTGCTAACATTGTAAATGACTTCTGTTCTCTATGCACGTCTTTCTGTTTCTCTTTAGCTTTACACTTCGCTGCGAAATGCCCTGGCCGCCCGCATACATAGCATTTCAATTCTTTTCTGCTTTTACCGCTTTCCTGCTGTTTATTGTTGTTGTCTCTACTGGAATTCATCTGTGCATATACCTGAATGCCGGTAGATTCGTTGGATCTCTCACGTTTGCGTTCACCTTCTTCCAAAATTTTAGAGGTCACAAAACTAAGTGATGGTAGCTTATCCCTCGTTTTCATAGCGATTACAAAGCTATCGTAGCTTTTTGGTAAACTGGATAGTAGCATTACCACCAACAACTCATCTGGTAATGGAATGTCGATCTCTGCTAATTTGTCTGCCACGTTGCTTCAAATGCTTACTGATGTCATTACCTTCTTCCATTTGCATGTTAATCAGCTTCTTGTACGATGATACCTTGCGTACAGGACCAGTTGCTTTGTACAGATTCTCCAGTGCCCTCCATGCCTCCATAGAAGATTTGCATTTTTATACCCGAGCGCACTTGTGCACAAGGGTATTATAACTTTGTTCACATGACGGTTGTTTGTAACAGGCAAAACGAATCGAGATAGATATAGACAAATGTATACATAAATGATCAGAATGAAAAGAGAAATCGATTAAGCGGTGACTGTCTGTCCGTCCGTCCGTCCGTCCGTCTGTGCACACGATAACTCGAGTAAAAATTGAGATATCTTAACGAAACTTGGTACGTGGACTTCTTTTGGGCATGGGACGGATGGTATTGAAAATGGGCGAAATCGGACAATAACCACGCCTACCTCCCATATAACGGTAATTTTCAGAAATACGAAAAGTGCGATATTTTAGTAACTACTGAAGATAATTCACTCAAAATTGATATTTACAATGAGTTTTAGACGAGAAATAAGAATATTAAAAAATTTTGGCAAATGGGCGTAGCCACGCCTACTTATGGTTACATGCGTATATCTTGGTAACCGCTGCACCAATTTCTTCCAAACTTGGCACAGTTCTTGATCCTGCTACAACATATTTAATGGCCGAAAACTTTTAAAATCGGACAATAACCACGCCCACATCCCATATAACGGTAATTTAGAAAAATACGAAATCCTCGATAAATCAGTAAATATTAAAGCTAATTTATTCAAAATTGATGGTTGCAACAATTTTTTACCAAGAAATACGCTTATGATAAAATTTTGGAAAATGGGCGTGGCACCGCCCACTTATGATCACATATATGTATCTCGCTAACCGTTCTAGCAATTTGAACCAAACTCGGTATGATTATTGTGCTTGCCACATAAAAGCAAAGCGTTGAAAATTATTGAAATCGGACTAAATTACGACCGCTTTTAATATAACGGTATATTTCAGTAATGCTTGAAACTTCAATATTTCGAAATTTAAGGACGCTAATTTACTGAAAATTTATACACCCCGGCTTATCGTGTAGCGGTAGTTTTCGGAAAGGTGGAAAACATATATTTAATAATTGCGCCGGGTATTTAATGTTCGGCTCCGCCCGAACTTAGACTTTCTTACTTGTCTTATATACATTAGTTGCGAAGTCTTCACGCCAAGTGTCAAAGTAGCTAAGGCCTTGTCATCAAGCTCGTCCCACTTGCTAGCAACTGCTTCAGTTTTCACAAACTTCCCGCTGACCACTTTCCATAATTAAGTGTGAATAAGGATGCTCTTCATTTGCACGCACCAACTGTCGTAGT